ATCTATTTTTCCAGCCTAGTTTACTGAGATTTCTGCAGTTGGGGGCGGGGAGGGAGGGGGGAGCATGTGTGTGTGTGTCGTGTGTATTGACCCAGGAACAAGCACAAGATAAAATGTTTCTTAATTGAAATTCTTTCTCTTTGAAGTTTAATCACTGATGAATTTTCATAATATTACAATTCTATATATGACTGTATTGACATTTTGAGGCTGAAAAAGGAAGCAAAGGAATAGAGATTATGGTTTTTGGGAGGAGATCTTGATCACAGAATCACAGAATGGTTGAGGTTAGAAGGGACCTCTGGAGGTCACCTGAGCTGACCTGCTCAAGCAGGGTCACCTAGAGCCAGTTGTCCAGGACTGTTCAGACAATGTTTAAGTATCTCCAAGGAGGGAGGCTTCACAACCTCTCCGGGCAGCCTGTGCCAGTGCTCAGTTACCCTCTCAGTAAAAAAATGTTTCCGGATGTTCAGACAGCACCTCCTGTGTTTCAGTTTGTGCCCATTTTCTCTGGTCCTGTCACTGGGCACCACTGAAAAGAGCCTGGCTCTGTCGTCTTTGCACCCTCCCTTCAGGTATTTATGTGCATTGATGAGATCCCCTTGATCCTTCTCTTCTCCCGGCTGAACAGTCCCAGCCCTCTCAGCCTTTCCTCACAGGAGACATGCTCCAGTCCCTTCATCATCTTACTGGCCCTTCGCTGGACTCACTCCAGTATGTCCATGGCTCTCATGTTCTGGGTAGCCCAGAAATGGACACAGGACTCCAGGTGTGGCCTCATCAGTGCTGAGTAGAGGGGAAGGATCCTCTCCCTTGGCTGGCTGGCAATACTTTGCCTAATGCAGCCCGGGGTACCATTAGCTCTCTTTCCTGCAAGGGCACATTGCCGGCTCAGGTTCAACTTGTTGTCCACCAAGATCCTCAGGTGCTTTTCTGCCAAGCTGCTTTCCAGCTGGGTGGTGCCCAGCATGTGCTGTGCCTGGGCTTGTTCCTCTCCAGGTGCAGGTTGAACTTGAGGTTCCTGTCATGCCATTTCTCCAGCCTGTCGAGGCCCCTCTGGATGGCATCGTGACCCTCTGGCATATAAGCCTCTCCTCCCAGTTTTGTGTCATCCGCAGACTTGCTGAGGGTACACTCTGCCTCATCATCCAGGTCATTAATGAAGATGTTGAACAGGACTGGACCCAGTATTGACCCCTGGGGTACACTGCTAGTTACTGGTCTCCAGCTAGGCTTAATGCTGCTGATCACCACCCTCTGGGCCTGACCATTCAGCCAGTTTTCAACCCACCTCACTGCCTGCGCATCCAGCCTGTACATCAGCAGCTTCTCTATGAGGATCTTATGTGAGACTGTGTCAAAGGCCTTACTAAAGTCCAGGCCTTTGACACTGTCTCCCGTAAGATCCTCATTATGGGTCCCTCATGATTTCTCTTTTGCTGGGTGCTCATCCATTTTTGAGAGTCCATACTTAAGCTTAGCTACACTTGACATGCTGAGACATTCCTGGCATCTGAGACTTGGATTTTCACAAGAAGACAAGTCTGTTTCTGCACAACTTTGAATATGTGCCTACTGAATGGCATTAAATTATCATTTTTTTCTGCTAGACCATTTCTCCAGTTTGTCAGTGGAATTCTGACTTCTTAATATGCTTCCTGGCCATTGCAGCCTGGCAGCACCTCTGGACTTAACCAGCATATTCCTTATTCTATCATCCAAATTTTTAAAATTACCTATTAGAGCCAGACAAAGGAAAGACCCAATCCAGAATGTATCTTAACATTTTTCACAATGAACTAGACTCTTAGTGTAGTTTTCCAGCTGTTACTTGTACCCATTCTATAATAATTACATGCAGCCCATGTTTTTTCTGGTGTATTTCACACTGTCTTCAGTGGTATTCTCACGCCTTCATGAAGTCAAGGTATAGGATGTTTACAGGTTTACTTTCATCAGGAAGCCCCCCCCCCCTTTTTTTTTTCCCTGTCCAAATCAGAAATTATACTTAGTTTGATATAAATGGCTAAAATATGTCTTTGGCAAACAATTAATCATAGCCTTTCATGTTTTAGAGGGTCACCTAAAAAATGTTTTTTCTGTAAAGTGGTTTTTTTTCTGGGCAATTTTGACCAGCCAGCTTAGCTTTATTTCTTTGGCTTATCCTTTCGTATCTCTTTTCCTCTTTAAAAGTAGGCATGTATGTGTTGTGTTGTTTTATTTCAAGCTTCTGGATTCTCATGTGATTTTCATGATTTCTCAGAGGTAACAGTAGATTACTCTGGGTTGTATGGGATCTGCTGGAGTAAATTTAATCAATTGTAATTTAAAACAGATTAACTTCTATAAATTCTGTGTCTTGTAGTTCACTATTTTTGCTTTTGTTCTTGCTCCCTTTCTGCTGGGGTTGTTCTTGCCATCTGATTGCAGCTGACCTCTTTGTGAAAAAAATGAAGCAAAAAGTCAGAGAACACTTCTTGGTGTTGTCCATTTTCTTTCCCACTGAGTATTGGAATAACTCCTTTCTTGCTGCTCTTCTTACTAAATATGTCTATGGAATTGTGGGTTTTGTTCTTTACATACATACCTTTCCTCATTTTGTGATGTGACCTTTCTGAGTTTGTTTCTGTTTGAGTGTGCTGCTGTTGTACTTGTCCTTGATAATTTGACCTAGTTCCTTTTTTTCTATTACTTCTTACGTTTTGAATCATCATAGCATTTGTGAATCACCAGCTGATCTCTTACTATATATACTTCCCACTATCTTCCATGTTGAGATAGTTTGTATTTGTGTACCGAATACTGCTTCTCTGAGAAGTGCTTAGTTGTCCTGACTTCTATCCATCAGAATTTGATTCGGGAAGAAGAAATCTCTCAGTCAAAGAAAGTATACTTCAGTAAACTGAGTGAAGTCCATTGGCTTTGTTCACTGTTCTCCCATTTACACTTACTAAGAATGACTGATTGTCATTTTGTGAACAGTCAATTACTTTGCCTTCCGTCTTCGCATTCTCTCAGCTAGTTTATTTCTACATTTAAAAAAAACACAAAATACCCAAACCAAAAGTGAATTTCAAGAACTGGCTGAACAGTCTGTTGTACTGTAGAGTCTGAAGAGTTGAAGAGTTCCTCAAGGGATGCATTTAGGATAGATTCCTTTTATTCTTAGCAATACTCTTAGAATGAATTTTGAAGCCCCTTCCTCCATGAATTGCAACCCTCAGTTGTTCTTCTGTATAATTGATGTGAGTTGGAGCTTCCTCATTCCATTTTTTTTCAGTCACAATGTTTCTTCAGTTTATTCAGTATGTATTTTGTATTTCCATGTTTTGTTTTGGTATTGTTGCGATGTGTATGACTCCTTTCCTTCAGAAGGCTTTCTTTTAACTTTATAACATTTGCACCTCTGATGTTAAGTGTTACCTCACCTGTGAGGACATAATTTGGAGTGGAAGGAGAAGGAACAAATGCCTACTAGGTATTGCAGTGATGAATCTCAAACATCTTAATATTCACTCTGTTGAAGCTTTAAGTCGTAGGTAAGAAAGGAGTGCTAGAAGCAACTTCAAAACCTGTTTTTCCACATATTTTTATGAAAACTACTGCTCTCTGCCACAAAAGAAGTACTCTGCTTCAAAATGAGAGAGGAGGCCAATGTCAGCAGATCCTTTTCACACTTGTTATGGTTTGTATCTGAACAAACAACATCTGAGCTAGTATACTAGTTTCCCTTTATAATCAGTGAAGAGAGAGAGCTTCTTCTCCAAAAGGTGGACAACTGCATTTAATTAGGTAACTTAATCCCTGAAGGTGTCCCCTTCTCTCAGCCAGTTCAACAGGAAGCCTAGTAAAACTAGCTTAGGTGTAGGTGCCTACTTCTGGTGAAATTAATCTTAATTCTGCCATTTACCCTTTCCATAGACATACTGCAGTTCTGTTTAAGTACTGAGGGTCAAACCTGCATTAACAGTGGGGAAGAATTGCTCTAGAGATCAACGAAAGTAAGAAAGGGATTCAGTCAATGAATGTAGAGTTCAACTTTGTTTTTTCACGTGCCAAGTCAAAGATTGAGTCTTGTGATGCCTGTAGAGCCCATGTTGCTTGAATCAAGAAACTGCCTCTGAATGAGCTGAGAGCTTCCCTCTGTTGCTTGCACCTGTGGAGTTGAGGTTGTGACAGATATGTTTTTATGTGAAGTACCCATGTGCTGTGTGTGTGACAGTACCTTGGCTGAAGTAGGGCTTATTGTTATATTAATCTCAGAAATGCCTGCTCGTAGTACCCAAAATCAGCTACATGGTGCAGTCTTTAAAGACTCTTTCTTTGAGTAGAAGCTGTAGTTACTCTTGATCTCTTAACCCCAGAGTTCCTCACCCTGCTGTAAAACTGCTTCCTGAGTGCAAGAACTAACTGCTTCTCTGCTCAGATGCTGAAATTTTTGAGCTCCATGGCATTCCATTGCAGTGCTAATGAAAGGACATGAGGTACTTGCTAAATGCAGCAGCCCTGGAGAAGCAGCTCATTGTGCCTTTGTAGATTAGACTACAGTTAAAACAGTTTGCGTGTGTGACACTTCATGTGTAACCATTAGAAAGAATTTCTTGTTCTTGTGATAGCTTGGAAGACAGTGGCCAGTAATGATAGAGCTCTAGCTAAGGATGATAAATGTGTCTCAATATTGGGAATTAACCTTTGCAGATGATGAATTGTGGAAACTATGTGAAGCTTCTGCCGTTCTAATTAGTCTGGCTAAAACGTCTAGCAAACAGGGAGATTTCTAAAGTCTCTGAGAATAGAAAATGACTGCAATAAAGGGACAAATGCCAGCATATTGCAGGAGGTGCCCTATGCTTTTTTAGTCTGTATATCCAGATCTTGACTGATAGAAAAGATTGTGAGATTAAATGCTGTATGTTTTTAAAATTCTAATTTTAATTTAGATTTCTAACTTTACCTTTAAATGTATAAACCTAATGTTTTGGCATGCTTTATTTTGACAGATAAGGAAGGACATAATTTTTCTATATTCTGGGTGCTGGTGAGTGTTATCCTAGGTGCAATAGCCATGCTGTGCAAAGAACAAGGAATTACAATACTGGTAAGAATCCTCTTATTGACTGAATTTTGACCTCAGCATGTCAGATGCAGTTGTAAAGCCTACAAAGATGAATCTTCTCCACAGCTAATCACATGCACACCTGTTTGTTCTTTTAAGAAAACCCGTTAATGTTGACAAAAAGCAGTATTCTCGTAGATCTGTCTTGATTGTATCCCTGCCAATCCTTTGGAATTCTTCATTTTATCTTTTGCAAACAGGTTGCATGTATCTGTTAATTTCTTGCAAAATTTAAAAGTTTTACAGTGTTAGTTTCAATGTGTATCATGTTCATTGGCCTTGGCTTTGAATGTAATTGTTGAGATAGCAGGCCTACAAACCTCATGTTGAAGGCTTATGAACAAAGACATAACTGGAGGAGAGCATTTTTAAAAGCTCCACCCTCTTGTTTTTGTGAACAGTGTAATTAAAAGTAGGGCCATTGTTTATGCATTTCTAATACCAAATCTCTTCCTTCTGTCCCTTATTTAAGGATCTGTCTATGCAAACAGGTATAGTTACTGTTCATGTTCATTGTGCTTTTGCTTTTATTACTTCAGTGAAGACATTCTGTTTTGGGTGACCAAATCAGCCACCTGAAATGCTACATCTGTGATTTTTACCTTTTATATAGCCATGTATCTTTATAAATAAATCCAATTTGTAGCTTTAACTGACATAGATAAAGCAACAACAGAATCAGAAGAATTCTTTGCAGCAAGGACCCTCTTGTCCTTGATAGAAAAAAAAGGGAGAAGAAATTACAGAAAACTTCTTGCTTTAGGACATTATTTTTGGATAGATGTTTGTAGAGTGATGTATTTTTTAAAGGTGTCTGTAAGGAAAACATAAGGAATTCTCTTAAAACTTGGTGTGATTATTTCCTTTAGTGGCATGAAGTAATTATTTGAGCCAGCAGACACAGAATTGTTATTGGATCTGGGTTTTTTATTTGTTTGCTGTTCCGTTGCTAGGGCGATTATATTTATTGTGCTGAGGGGCATGGGTCCGAGGGATGAAGGGATAAATCACACATTAAAAAGATTGCTTGTAGGCTAAATGTATTTTTCAGCAGGATTCTTGCCTTCCTATCTCCATACAAGTGAGCCAAAAGCCTTTTAACTGTCAGGTGGCCTTTCTACACGGAACTACGCCTCTCTAACCTATCTTCTGTCTTCTCCCTTTGACTGTTAGAAAGAGACTTGCGGCCTCCCAATGTCCTAACTCTTTGCCTCACCTGGAACTATTTTTACTGTCTTCTTTCCATTTAGTCTTTAGAACATTGAGGTAATTTCCAAAGTTACTAGGAATTAGGCTAAATATTCAAGGATTGTAATGGTTGGCGATTGCTGAAACATTGAAGGGAATATGTTAAAGTTGGATTTTGCTGGTCACCTCAACAGAATTACCCCTGGATATATTTTAGCTGCTTGGGGGTAGTATGTGCAAGTGTAGTCCTGCAAAGCACTGAATATGCTCTGGTTTTATGTGTAGTGACTGATGTCACGCAGAAGGTTGATTGTTTTTTTCAGCAACTTCCACTGTGTATATTGGTGTAATTGCAAGAAAAGCAAGCCTGATATCTCTGTTAAATCTTTTGTTTGTTGCGACAATTTATGTACCCTTTAAAAATAGTATTCCTGAAACCTGACAGTCAAAAGATACCATGCTGCACAGCAAAAAATAAGTAGAAGGCTTAAAGAAACTCCACCTTACTGACAGAGGCCTTACCTTTTGACTGCAGCATTTACACTGTGGAACATTTGGGAAAGAAGAGGAGAGCAGAATACTGTTGTGACCATGCATATGAGGTCTAGCTTGCTGGTACATGGCATTCCCCGAAGGGTTACTCCATGTACCAGGAGAATCCCCATTACAGGAACATGATATTCTACTCATCTGAGCTCAGGTTCTCAATTTACCATTCTGCCTTCATTACTACCAACGTGTCTCTCTACTTGTTTGGAATCAGTATTAAGATGTACAATAACTCATGGTAGAAGTGGAATTTTAAGATGTATTTTAAAAAATAGTGGTCAGCTGCTCCATCTTATGCTCTTTATTTTTCTCTTGGTTGCTTAGGGTTTGAATGCAGTGTTTGATGCACTGGTGATTAACAAGCTAAATGTTTTGGAGCTTATTCAAAAGTTACTACATAAGGACAAGTCATTGGAGGTGAGTCTGCAGAGGTTTTGTTCATTCTGGCCATTCAGACAGTCCTGTACTAAAAGACAAAGATACAACTTCTGACAGTTCTGTTGTTGAGAATTACAAAAAAAATAGAGGTATGTTCAGTCAGCCTAGTAAGGCAATGTGCTGTGACATCTTTGCAGCAACATGAGTAGTAATGGGATAGCATTAGAATTGTATTAGATAGTGAAATCCATTCCACACTTCTCTCAACAGTGTGTTAAAAATATGGTGTGGAAGAGCTGACTGCTTGATGCAACAAGTTCTCCAGGGTCAGTAGCTATATACCTGAAACGGTTGTTTAACGTAGATTGGTCAGAGTAAAGAGAGACAGATTTATTCAGATTCTCAAATAAGACAGATAGACCTTTGAAAAAGTACATTATAAAAAATATTATGTCTACTTTGCCAATCCCACTACACTATTTTTTTCAGAATACAAATTACCAAACAGGAGACAGTTCCTAGTAGCTTGGGATTTTAAAAGAAAAAATACATAATCACTGATAGTCGCTAAGGATCAAATTTCTGACTTTTGTTGGTATCACTTTATCCAGTATAGGCTCAAGTGGAATCCAGCACCTAGTATTTGCACTGGCAAGCAAATCACAGAAACAATCAGCCTCAGGTGAATGATTGATAGCAGCCAAATAGACCAACAGCCTGCCTAGAACATCACTGTTATTCAACAGCTAAATTATTTGCCTCTCCCATCCAAGGTTGAGCAAGGCAAAGGAATATTCATTGTACTTTGCATTGACCAGTGGTGTCACTGCAGAGAAGTCTTGCTCATGTTTCTGAGTAGTGCAAGTCCTATGGGGCTTTTAAATTGCTTTGCAAAGAGTGAAGTGAGGAGCTTCAGGGGGAGCTCAGTAAAAGGGGAATCTCTAGAACTGAAACAGTAGATTTGACAAAGAATGGCTAAGTGAGGTATGCAAGAGTATTTCAGGCAGCAAATAGGAATGCTGGGGAATTTTGTTGTATAATGAGAGTAATGTCAACTAGCATATGACAAGAAAAGAGTCTAGAGCTGTAGGGGACTAAAGCAGAGCCAGTTCAGAATTACAGTGATGGAAATAAAAGGTAATAAGGAGGACCCTGGGAACTACTGACCAGTCAGCCTCACATCAGTGCCTTTGAAGACTGTGGAAAATATCCTCCTGGAAGTTATGACAAAACATATAAAAGACAGGGAGGTGATTAGAGACAGCCAACATGGCTTCACCAAAAGAAGATCGTGCCTGACTAATCTAGTGTCCTTCTACAATGGAGTGACAAAATCAGTGTACAAGAGAGGAGCTACTGATGTCATCTACCTGGATTTCTGCAAGGCCTTTGATATGGTCCTCCACAACATTCTTGTTGCTAAAATGGAGAAAGATGGGTTTGACTGATGGACTGTTGGATGGATGAGGAATTGGCTGGATGGCTGCATCCAAAGAATTACAGCCAAAAGCTCAATGTCCAAGTGGTAACCATATGAGTGGTGTCCTTCAAGGATCCATACTTGGACCAATACTATTTAATATCTTCATCAATGACATAGTGGAATTGAGTGCACCATCAGCAAGTTTGCAGATGGCACTAAGCTGAGAGTGATACTCTTGGGGCAAGGGATGCCATCCAGAGGGACCTTGGCAAGCTTGAGAAGTGGGCCCTTGGGAACCTCATGAAGTTCAACAAGGCCAAGTGCAAGGTCCTGCACCTGGGTCGGGGCAATCCCCAATATCAATATAGACTGGGGGATGAATGGATTGAGAGCAGCCCTGCAGAGAAGGACTTGGGGATACTTGTGGATAAAAAATTAGATATGAACCTGCAATGTGTATGTGAATGTGCCTGTGAATTGTGTCCTGGACTGCATCAAAAGAAGTGTGGCCAGCAGGTTGAGGGAGGTGATTCTCACCCTCTACTCCACTCTGGTGAGACCCCACCTGGAGTACTGCATCCAGCTATGGGGTGGATGAAAGAGCAGGTCCCGAGGAGGGCCACAGAAATGGTCTGAGGGCTGGAACACCTCTCCTGTGAAGAAAAGCTGAAGGAGTTGGGGTTGTTTAGCCTGGGGAAGAGAAGGCTCTGGTGAGACCTTATTGTGGCCTTCCAATGTGTAAAAGGGTCTTATAAGAAAGATGGAGAGAGGCTTTTTACCAGACCCTGTAGTGACAGGACAAGGGGCAATGGTTTTAAACTGGAAGAGAGTAGACTTAAGTTAGACATTAGGAAGAAATTCTTTACCGTGAGGGTGGTGAGACACTGGAACAGGTTGCCCAGAGAAGTTGTGGATGCCTCCATCCCTGGAAGTGTTCAAGGTCAGGTTGGATGGGGCTTTGAGTAACATGATCTAGTGAAAGATGGCCCTGCCCATGGCTGGGGGGGTTGGACTAGATGATCTCTGAAGGTCCCTTCCAACCCAAACCGTTCTATGATTCTGTGAAATGTGTCAGAGTCAAACTTTTTTGGAGGATTATTTTTTAAGCATGAAGAGCTCAAAGCGTTATGCTTCCATTTTGTGACTTTTAAACAGTTCTGTCTGGGTGAAGAAAACATCAAATGTGCCTTTTCTTTCTTCTTTTAATAAAAGTAATTCATTTTAGCTCCTGCAACCTGTAAAAATCTGTTCTGCCCTTTTCGTGGAAGTGTATCTAAGATTTTTTTGTTTTGCTTTGTTGAAAGGCAGATCTTAAGTTCTCTTACTTGCAGATTTTTTTTCTTCTTGATGCAGACAGGTTTCAGTTTCATGCCAGATTTCATCTAACTCTAAATCAAAGACAATACGGTAATACTTCTTCCACTTTCTAAATCCTGCCTACTAAGAGATTTTGTGGTGATTTGTGACATCTGGCCTTTAAGAAGCTGCATGTACTGTTAAACAAAATGAAGCCTGGGATGAGAGGTTTTGTGTAGTTACTCTGTCAGAAAGCAGTTATAAATTGTCACTATATGGTTTTCCTTCATAGCACAATTCTCTTCCGAAACCAGTTTTTAGGAATGGTTTTCCTGTAATCCTCATTGTAGTGACTTTGGTTACTGAGCTGTGTAAATGTAAAATCAACTTTACAAATTTCTTTATCCTTAGGCATTCAGCTAAATACTGTATAATGACTCCATTGTCAACTACAACTAGTAAAAACCCATCTGAATATTGCTTTTAAACTTAACTTTTCTATCATTTTAGAGAATAAGTATCTTCAGGGCACTGTGTGATGTCTTTGTGCAGTAAGCCTCTTTTTTTTTTTTTTTTTACATCTTCAGAAATAACTAATATTGATCTAAACAATTATGGTGGTGGTTGCTAATCAACATATTGCAATAATAGGTAATAATAATCAGTGCACCAGCTCTGGTGGAGGACATAGAACTGATCATGTATAACTATCAGGTAGGTTTTTAAAGGTAATAGAAGCATATCAGACTAAGGGAGGAAGGCAGGAATAAAGCAAAACTAATACAGGAGATCACATGACCATATTTTTTAGGATCCAGTCAACTCTTCTGTGCAAAAATCCGTAGTTTACCAACACTTTCCTCTTCAGATGTCTAGAATGGAAGGGGAAGTGGCCCAAATGATCTCTAATTTCAGAGAAACCAGTTTTCTATCTTCTGCTTCTCTAATGACTTGTTGACACTGTGTAGAATGATTTCAGCCATCAGGTTTCAGAAGCTCTAAGGCAGCCCTTCATTTCCTATCTGCGTTACCGTTTGCTAGCTGGGTAGGGTGTTGGAAGCTTGGATTTGCATCTTGAAGCTGTGACAGGGATATCGTTATAGTTACCAATGATTCTGTTTCTAGTCTCTACTGGTGAAGCTTGAAGAACCTCTACAGTATACAGTGCTTTTCTTTTCATTTATGAAACTGATGTGTGCTTAGAGAAAATGTGTTATACTTCACAGGGGGAAAAATGGGAAAGTGTGTCAAATTTAGCTTCTATGACATCACTTCTCTATGTTTTATGTGAATTGACTTCTTTAGACCCTAAAGTGTGTATTATAAAACATGTGATGTAAATCAACTGAGTTAATGTAGATAAAACACTATTTTTTGTAGATCTTGGGTAATTTTAGTCTGACCAAACTGATTTGGGTACCTGTCTGTCATTAGCTTTTTAATCATGCTAGTGAATGTGAAAATTTTAATTTAGTTTCTCATTCCACCCAGTTTCTAACTATGCAGTTTTCTTGTTGTATGCAGTCATGTAATTTTACCTCTAAAGAGACTTAAGTGGACAAAGACTTTCAGTGATAAGCTGTCAACTGGATATAGCTACTTAAAAGAAAGTTCACAAGGTAACTGTCCTCCATTTTAAAAAGAAAAGATAGACCAATTTAATATGCCGTATACTAACGGCTGTATTCCGCTCAAATTCCCTACCAGAAATTGCTGTGTAAAATTACATCAACTATTGAGTTACTGAGGATTTGTACAAGAGAGACTTCCTGAATAAAAAAGTTTTCAGATTGAGAAGGAAATGAAAATGTTTGCAAAAAATATTTTGCAATTAGTCAGTGAAAGCATAGTAAAGTTTGAGAGCTTTCTAGTAACTGCAAAAATAGGAAAAATGTCAACTCTGATAGCAAAAATGCACAGGAATAGCCTCTTCTTTCTGAGATGGTGGCGAAAATGATGTAAATGTAGTGGGGAAGAGAACAAAATAATGTTTTCATATGAGGGTTTTTTATTCTTTCTTTCCTGTAGAATGCTGGGCTGTTAAGAAAGGGGCTGCTTTTCAGGATAACTCTTCTGATGTCTGGAGGGGCCAGTATACTTTATATACGCTGGAGGATTATGGGCACAGGGCCACCGGCTTTCACTGAAGTAGACAACCCGGCTTCATTTGCAGACAGTCTGTTTGTGAGGGTAAGTTATGAAGTTGGCTTTTTCTGGCTAGCTCAGAACATTTGTCTTTGTCATCAGATTGAATTTTCTTTTCTGGGCTTCAAAGAAACAATAAAGTGGGTAGTTTTTACATTTCAGGATGTGTGATGAGTCACCTTCCCCTGTGCTGCTCTGATGATTTTCTGCCATTTTTTAAAATAGTATACTTTGGATATTCTTTGCATTCAATTTTGTATATTCTTTGCATTCAACTGTGTATATTCATTGCACTGCACACAAGGAAGTACATTTCCATTTACTCACTACTTTTCCCATGCATGCAAGGATTTAGCTTTTGCTGGGTTTCATCCCTTTTCCACATACTGTGTTTGACTCTTCATCTGTTCTTTCACAATTGAAGAAAATAGCATAAAGTTCTGGTCTGGTGCATTTGGAGTATGTCTTGGCTTTATACCTCTGGCTGCATTAAGGCTCTTTCTGGAGATGGAGAATGAAGGATGAAGACAGTGGGTGCTGTCTTTTGACATTTTCTCCTATTGTAGGAGATAATTTTTTTTACATGTGGTTATTGGTTGGACAGCACAGAATTTCATTTCCCTGCTCTGAAGAGGAGAGCCACCTAGCTATGTTTAGGAAAAAAAAAATTTCACAGTTGTAAAATAAATGGCTATGTAACTAGTTGTAGTCTAACAGTATTTAAGGCCTCTTTATTGTATAAGATATATTTTGTGATAAGGGAAATGATAGCAGAGAGAAGAACTCAAGTTGCCCCCCCCCCCCTTAAGTTTAGTATCAAATAAATGTTTGTTTTCTTTTTGACTGACAGGCTATAAACTATAATTACTACTATTCCTTGAATGCATGGTTGCTGTTGTGTCCCTGGTGGCTGTGTTTTGATTGGTCAATGGGCTGCATACCCCTCATTAAATCCGTCAGTGACTGGAGGATAATTGCACTAGCAGCACTTTGGTTCTGCCTAATTGGTCTGATATGCCAAGCTCTGTGCTCAGAAGACAGCCATAAGAGAAGGTAAGAGACAGTGATGAATTTTAAATGCCCGGCCAACTTGAGTACAGTATTATTTTGTTAAATCCACTACTGATACTTTTAACAATTCAGTGGAACCAGTGTCTAGCAAATGCAGTTCAAATAAATATTTATAGCTGTCATTACAGTTTTATCCCAATTTGGGCCCATTACTGTACACTGACTAGTGGGAAACAGAGTTGGAGGAGGAGGCATGGATGGCTGCTTTATTTTTCTCCTGAAATGGCATTTTGAGATCCTTAACACTGTAGGTGGTCAAAAATAATCTGTGCTCAGAACAGAGTAGGAATTGATGTATGTTGTTGCCCCTACTTATTACAAGTCATCATCTCCTTTGATCTTCTCCTAAACATGAAAGAGAGAGGAGAGGTACCTTGACAGGAGGTAGAAATGCTGGCCATGGTCATACAATTAAAAAATAAAATGCTGTCCCATAGTATCTACTGAGGAAACAACTTGTACTTTACCCAAAGGAACTAAAAAAAAATTATTATTAACTATTCTGTCTCACTAAGGCTTCTGTTTAAGTTTTCAGGGTCTGTTCCCATGGATTTTATGTATAATTAATTTCTCAGTTCTTTAAAATTTTTCAACAGCTCAATCACAATGAGGTCATTCTGTTGTTCAGAGTGCTGAATATTTTCTTTTCTGTGGTATTCTGTGATTTCATGTCTTCCCCCTCATCCCCTCAAATGTTAACATCCCACCTGCATTCCTTTCCTCTGTTCCCATACTCATTTGCACAGATAAAATCATTTTGGAGAGGGGTAGAATTCTTGCTACAAGTGATGTCATACTTTCTAGTAAAAACACACACACTAAGCCTGTATTGCTGAACAGTTTTTTAGTAAAACGTAAAGGCAAAAAGTATACTAAAGGCCTAGGACTCTTGGGGAGGAGAAGAGAGTAAGAGGACACATCTACATTACAGTATAGAGATTTATTTGTGGTAAATTAGGGTAGAAAACTACCATGCCTGTGGCCTTTATAACAACCACCTGACACAGACCTGGGACTGATACTCCCTTATGTCAGCTCTGTAAAAGTAAGGTACCTAGTCTCAGTTTTCTAAGCTCTGTATAGTCCATAGGTACCTGCCGAGGATTACTCATCCTAACCTAGATACCTAAAACAAGGAAGACAAACTGCCCTCAAGAAATGCCTCTCTTTGCTGACTGTAGAAAAAGTGTAGATGACTAACTTTCAGGTGGTTAAGCACAATGGATTCTACTATTGATGTATTTGTTAGGAAAGAAAATGCTCTCTCAGTGAGATGTGTACCTAAGTTTCTTCTTCAACGGTGACCTATATTTTTCCCCTGTTACTGACTTATTAGTTCCAAAAATAGACAGGTAGCTTTTACCATTACTTTTCCTGCCTGTGCATTTTAGATAGGAATTATGTCATTAACGTGTAGTGGGACTATTTTCTGGCTTGGAAGCATGAACATTGCTTTTCTGGGAATTATAGCTAGGATTTTAAAAGTGTCTGATGGAGTGAAGTGTCAAAACCTCACTGAAACTCAATTTGATTTTGTTACATAGCTCCCAAAGGCTGCTTTTGAATGCCCAGTTCCATATGCACATCATTTTGTAAGTTTGTAAGTGGAAAAGGTACTTTTGTTAAGATTTGTGGTTAATTTGAGAATCTGTTTCTTCTTTGCAGAATTCTTACACTGGGACTCGGATTTCTTATTATCCCTTTTCTTCCTGCAAGTAACCTGTTCTTCCGAGTAGGATTTGTTATTGCAGAGAGAGTCATCTACCTCCCCAGTATTGGATATTGTATTCTGTTTACATATGGATTTAGTCTCTTGAGTAAGCAAGCCAAGAAAAAGGTACTATCAAAACAGTCAGTAAAGTTGATGATGAAGTGCTTCAATTGAATGGTTTGTTTCTTAACTTGTCTCTCTTTCCTTAAGAAAATTCTTGCTGTGGCAGTACTTGGAATCTTGTTGATAAATGTTATGCGGTGTGCACTCCGCAGCAGTCAGTGGAGGTCAGAAGAACAGCTTTTTAGGAGTGCACTGTCTGTATGCCCGCTGAATGCAAAAGTAAGTAATTCATGTGAACTTTTAATCTTTTTTTTTAAGTGTTTTGAAATTTGGGATAGAGGAGGTGTTATGCATAGTTATATTGTGGCACAGTGTTATTCATAGTCTTGGTTGGTGCAAGAATATGACATTGACATGTCAGACACCTAAATTACAGTGGTAGCATAGTCAAAATACCAGACAGTGCAAATTACAATATTGTAATTCAGAACTTGGGGGTGGGAGTGGGGAGGGGAGG